CTGCACCGGTCCTGCAGCCGTGGGCAGGGCAAGGCGGCACGAGCTGCAGGAGCTCTGCCGCGTCCCGGAGCCCCCAAGCCAGCGCGGAGCTCCGAGGGTCCGAATCTGTTGTGCTGCTGCTGCGTCCTGAGCATCCCCTGCGACAGCAGGCGTCGCGTCACGCCTGCCGGGTGTTTTGCAGGTGTGATTTGGAAAACTGAGCAGATGCAAAAAGCAACACGTGCGAGTCCTGTCGAGTCCTTCTGATGGCCGCTTGCCCCGTGCAGCAGACCCCCCGTTCCTGCCTTTGCTTGGCGTGGTCTCTGGAGGGGGGAGTGTGGTCTGCGCCCCCCAGGAGGGACAGGGCAGGAGGGGGGTGCATCTGTCCCGCGCCGCCCTGGTGGCAGCAGGGCTTGTCCCGGTCCGTGGACCTCCCTGAGTTTCCCACGCCGGCACCCCCGGAGCAGGCTGTTTTAGGCAGTCTTGTTCCCCACTGTGTGTCCAGGTGTGCCGGCTACTTTGGGATAACATTCCAGGCACTTCTCAGAGAGAAAATTGGTGTACATGTAGGGTGGGTTGACCTTTCGGTGGGTCACACTCGAGCATCTTCTCTAGGAAAAGCGCAGGGTGAAGCGGGTGATGGGGTGTATTGCCACGTCACTGTAGTGCAGTTTTAGGCAGTCTTGTTCCCCACTGTGTGTCCAGGTGTGCCGGCTACTTTGGGATAACATTCCAGGCACTTCTCAGAGAGAAAATTGGTGTACATGTAGGGTGGGTTGACCTTTCGGTGGGTCACACTCGAGCATCTTCTCTAGGAAAAGCGCAGGGTGAAGCGGGTGATGGGGTGTATTGCCACGTCACTGTAGTGCAGCAGGCGATGGCAGAGCCTGCCTCCAGCACGCTATGTAAATTGTTTGAAAATGGTACCAAAACACTCCTGCACCCCTGTTTCCTCCGTCTGCCCATCACCTCCCCTGCCCTGGGGGGTCGTATTTAGAATTACAGCTTTGGCAGCGGAGCTGGATGTGAAGCTTCTCCCAGCGCAGACACCTTCCCGTTGGCGCTCTGCAGTGCGGGGAAGGAGCGTGCAGACCCTGCTGCTGTGCCGGGGGGTGAGGAGCTGCCCATGGGCACCCGGAGACCACCCCGCTCCTCGCCACCCCGGCTGGGCGCTGTGCCTGCGGGG